TATATTAGTGAGCTGGAGATGTAACTTACTGTTGAGGCCCTGGGTTGAATCCTCATTACCAAAAAAACCCCACCAACTTTGAAGTTATATATTTAATATTCTTGCTGGGCATGGTGGCATACATGTGTCATCTCAGCTCCTAGGGAGGATGAGGCAGGAGGGTTACTTGAGCCCAGGAGTTTGAGGGGAGCCTGAGCAAGAAAGCAAGACCCTTGTCTCAAAAACAAATTTTTTTCTCTTTCACTGACAAATATAATCATGAAATTTCTTGTGAAAGGATTTTTTATTCCAATTTAAAAATTTTAAGGTAAGTATTTAAAAATGATGTAGGGCTGGGGATTTAGCTCAGTGGCATTGTGCCTGCCTGGCAAGCACAAGGTCCTGAGTTCGATCCTGTGTACCAAAAAATTTTTTGAATTTTAAAAAATAAAAATAATGATGTAGCTCAAATTGCAGAGTGCTAGGCAGTCACCCTGCAGCTACCTCAGACATCGTCAGAAGGGTCCTGTAAAGTACAAATGGAAGGAAGTCCCGGGTAGGAGTATAGAGATTTGCCCTGTGCCAGGTCCTCATCCCCGCCTGACTGGCTCCATTGTGGTGCACCAGTACTCCTTGGACACCTGGCCCGAGTGTCACTGTGCTCTCTGTTCTGCAGGACTAAGGCAGGGTCCTGGGGCCGGTGCCTCTCTGCCATGCTCAGTGCTTCACATGCAGCCATGAATGGATGCTTCCCCTCTGCCCAGCGCTGTGGGGACCAGGGGATGTGGACTGGGCCACACTGCCTAGGGTGCCCTGCAAGGAGCTCCCGTGGGCTGTTCCCAACAAGGGCACCAGTTAAGGAGCTGTGGGGACCCTAGCCTCTGGAAGTCCTGAGGTTGTAGTAAAGACCACCGAGGGGGTCTGAGGCCTCAGCTCCACTGTCTCTGCTCGACCACCCCCAGTCCCCATCTTCCCTCTCCCCAAGCCCATGTTATGCTGCCACTTTTCCACACTCCTTTCCTTCATGGAAGTTCTCACAACCCATTTTGTGGATTTGTTTGGTGGTTTCTGGTCTTCTCCACTAGACTGTGTACTTAGCAGTAGTAGGGCCTTGATGTTTATACACTATTCTTTCTCTTCCAACTTGCACAATGCTCAGCTTATGCCAGAAACTTAATAAATATTTGGTGCACAAATAAGCAGAGTGGCAGTATTTTATCGAGTCTTACATTCAGCTGTAGGATGGACTTTGCAGAATATTCAGATGTGAAAAACTATGGCTCTTAGAGTATGACTTGTTTTTCAGTGTTCCCATCAGGGAAAGGTAAGGTGGAAGAGGGACTTTTTCGTGAGGGTGAAATGGGCTAATTTAACCAGACCTGACATCATGATTAATATTCTTTAATTTTGAATACTCATGAAGTGACCAATGGCTTTTATGATTCTTTCCTGTTCACCAAACAACCTTGTGAATGTAGCTGTTCCCTCTGAAGATGCCCTCCATAAATGAAGACATGGGTGTTGCTCTGGGATAGTGAGCTAGGTCAGTGTGATCTGCCTCGAGGAAAGAATACCAAAAAATTAGACTGTTTTTTTTTTATTGTACCAGATATTGAACTTGGGACCTCGCACTTGTGAGGCAGGCAGTGGCACCACTGAGCTAAATACCTGGCCCTAGAGTGGTTTCTGACATGGCGCCTTAGTTATGTTTCTTATTGCTGAGACAAAATACCAAACATCCAAAGTTAAAGGAGAAGAGGCTTATTTTGGCTCAGTTTGCAGAGGTTTCAGTCTGTAATTGGCTGGCTCCAAGGCAGGTGGTATGACAGGCATCGCAGAGGAAAAACAGCTCGTGGTGGGCAGAAGCCAGCAAAAGCAGCAAGCAACAAGCAATGGCACTAGCCTGCCTTCTGTCTTTTATAATTTATCCAGGCTATCCAGGTAGCACTCACACCCAGGTTGAGGCACCCTTAATCCTACCCAGAACTGTGGCAAACAAACCAGTGGACTAATTTAGTAATCAAACACCTTTGATCCCAGCATGGCATCCTCAATTCCAACATCACACACTCTAGATCCAGCCACCTCTGAAAAGCCCCATTTATAACCACATGAGGCTTTGAGGAGACATCTAGACACAAGCCATAACACATGGCAAGGTCCATAGTCACACCTTGAACCATAGTGTGTTCATAGGCATTAGACAATATTTGAGACACTCCCAAACCGCTTCCTTCAAACTACAGCATTATTACATGATGATCTTGATACTTCTTAAGTATTAACAAAGAGGAGAGAAAATTCTCCAAAAAAAAATCTCTTTATAGGGAAAGAAGAAGCTGGGCATAGTGGTGCACACCCATAATCCCAGCACCGAGGGAGGCTGCATCATCGGTTGAATCTTGCCTGGGCAACTTAGTGAGACTCTGTCTCAAAGTAAAAACTAAAGAAAAAGGGACTGGAGATGTAGCTCAGTGGTAGAGTATGTCTTGCATGTATGAGGCCCTGGTTTCTATCCCTAGCACCACAAAAATTAATGATAAAAAAGATCAAGTTTCAATGATTGCTAACATGTCTTTTTCTTTTCTCTTTCTTTCTTTCTTTCTTTCTTTCTTTCTTTCTTTCTTTCTTTCTTTCTTTGTGGAACTTGGAATGAACTCAGACTATATTATCTTTTTTTTTTTTTTTTTTTTTGGTACCAGGATCGAACTTGGGACCTTGTGCTAGTGAGGCAGTCAACAGAACCACTTAAAATCCCCAGCCCTCAGACTTTTGTATTGAGTGACATCTCAAATCTTTTTGTTTTGGCTTTTGAGACAGGCTGGCTTTGAACTTATTGTGTAGCCTGGGCTGGCCCCAAACTTGTGGCAATTCTCCTGCCTCAGCCTCCTGAGTGCCGGGATACAGGTATGTACCACCATCCCTAGCTTTGAACCTTCTTTATGTTTCTCATTTTGAAACAAAGTCTCACTAAGTTGCCAAGACTGGGTTTATACTTGAGATCCTCCTACCTCAGCCTCCTGAGCAGCTGGGGTTACAGGTGTGCACCTCACATCCAGTGCTAACTTTTCCTCTGGGTAAAAGAGGAGTGTCCTTGGTAGACTTGAGAAGGGTACTGAGTTTACCTACCACAAGGACAAGGACTTGAGTTTCCAGGGATCCCCCAAACTACCTGGTACTGTTTTTTAATAGTCTAAGCATTGATGTCTATAAAGGGCCTTGGCTTTTCTTTGTTGGTAGGTTTTTAATTACATCTTTAATTTCATTGACTGATAATTGGTTTATTTAGAATTTTTATATCTTCTTGATTCAGTTTTGGTAATTCATATGTATCTAGGAATCTGTCCATTTCTTCTGTGTTTTCCATCTTATTAGAATACAGGTTCTTGGGCCGGGGAATTAGCTCAGTGGTTCTGCTGCTTGCCTCGCAAACACAAGGACCCGAGTTCAATCCCCAGTACCAAAAAAAAAAAAAAAGAATACAGATTCTTGAAGTAGGTATTGATGATCTTTCTGGATTTCAGGGCTGGCTGGATCTAGGACGTGTCCTACTGGGATTAAAGGTATGTGGTACTAAATTAGTCTGCTGATTGGAATTAGCATAGTTCTGGACATGGCTAATGATAGCCTAACCCTGGATGTGAGTGACATCAATCGAAAGGCTTACAGCTTGGATAGAATATAAAGGGAGAGAGGGAAGGCAGGCTTGCTGCTGCTGCTGGCTCCTTTGCTGCTGCCTGCCTTGCTGTGGACTGTTTTTTCTCTGCCATGTTCCTTGCCATCCCACCCTACCTTGGATTCAGCTGACTTTGGACTGAAATGAAATAAACCTTTCCTCTAACTTGTCGGTGTCGGGTATTTTGTCCTGGCAACAAAAAAGCAACTAAGACATATAGCATGAAAAAAAGATTTGTAAATGTAATCATACACTAAGCCTATAATAGAATTTCTAGAATCTAAACTAAGGAAAAAATTTAAATATATATCATTGTGTGTACAATTACATTTATTACATTTTTAAAACTAAATTTTATAGTGTGGGGATTGAATACAGTCCCTTGAACATCCTAAGAAAGTGAAAAATTATCAATAGAACTATGATTAATATAGTTTAGTAACCCCCTGAGTGAAGTAATTATCTTCCCATTAAGATGCTCCCTTAAAAATGTTTACTAAAAGGGCCAGGGATTTAGCTCAGTGGTTTCGCTGCCTGCTGCACAAGCACAAGGACCCGAGTTCAATCCCCAGTACCAAAAAAAAAAAAATGTTTACTAAAACTATTTCTTTAAATATTTTTAAAAACAATGTTGGTTGGAGGAATAAGATATAAAATTGTATATTTAGCTTAGTAATATGCTGGGGAAATCACATACTTGTATATAGCCATGTACTGGGATGCTAATCTAGTGAGTGATATGATTTTCTTTCTAGTTTTAAAAAATGTTAATAAAATGCTCATATTATTTTTATAATGGAAATATTTTAAATTAAAAACCCCAACTCCTTGTACAGTTAGAACTGGGGACCATTTGATGAGTACTTGCAAGGTCAAAGACAGAAGCTGGAGGCTGGAGGTCAGGAGAGTGGTGGCCTAGCACGGAGGAGGTGGTGCACACCTGCACTGCCAGAGACTTGGGAAGCTGCCGTGGGAGCAGCAAGAGCTCAAGGCCAGCTTGGGCAACCTAGATCTCATTTCAAAAAAATCAAAACCTGAAGATACTAGGGAAAAGGGAAAGAAAACACAAAGAAAACAAGTGAATGAAGACACTAGGAGACATGGCCTTACAGCTCGGAAACGGGACAAAAGGTTTGAAATGAGAATCAGTCCTCAAATCTAGGAAATACACAGATACGTAGATAAAATGGCAACGATAGTATAAGGCCAGAGTGACCTGGGTAACCTGAATTTGTTTGAGGGAACCCGGCAGACTTTGTTGGCAGTGACTCTTAGCCACCCAGCCCTATGGCCATGAGGCTTCCCAAGAGTTTTCCTGCCCAGGAGCCTTCCCTGTAGGTGATGCTGTGATGGGCCAGGCTCCGAGAAGCTTCCTGAAGGTGAGATAAGGAATCTAACCCACCAGAGTCGCTGACCCCGATCATGGAAAAAAAATTTCTAGGACTAGTCAGTAAAATACACGGGAAGAGCTTATTTGGCAGAAATTAAAGTACACATTCAAGAGTGGAGACCGCCTTCAGAGAAATGAGATGCATTATGATCCAGAGCTGGGAATATTTATATGGCTGGGAGTTTTCTTCAAGATGGATGACCTAGCAGTGCATTCCTACTGTCTGTCAAATTACCAACCTGGCAGGTTATACTAAGATGGAAGCCTTTTACATGTGATTGAAATTAAGATCTGCTGCCCATTCATATTGTTGTTTCCATGAGGATAAGTGCAGTTCATAGGTGAAAAGATCCCCAAGCTGCAGGGGTTCAGGCAAAGAGGGGTCACACAAACATACATACCCCTGACCAATGCTTGGAAGTTTTCTTGCTTTTGGTGAAGACTAAAATTTCCCATTCCAGGCCTGAGTTATCCTTTCACAGGAGTTTTCCTTTCACGTGGTAGATATACCCTAACGATATTTAACTCCTTGACCCATGCCAACATTGAGCCAAGGATGCGAAAAATGAGAAAGAGAAGAGAAGAAATATAAAATCTCCCCAACAAGGAGGCTTACATCCTAGCGAGGCTGGTCAGGAGATTACTGTGGGTGTTGGGTATGGACGAGTTTCTATGTTCTTGTGTGTGACAAAGAATTGGATGTGGCATGTGCCCAGAGTTTGCAGGCTTGTGCCAGCAGAAAGGAAATTGGTGCAAGCACTGGAGGCATTGGGTTTAAGAATTTAAAATGTTGGGGCCAGGGATTTAGCTCAGTGGTTTCGCCGCCTGCTGCGCAAGCGCAAGGACCCGAGTTCCATCCCTGGTACCAAAAAAACAAAAAAGAATTTAAAATGTTGTGCCGGTTCTAGGGTGACTCCCGTTGGGTCTTCTAGAGCATGATTGACAATATGATTGACAGGGTGCTGAGTCATGTCATCTGTATCTATCATGTGTGACCTCCCCTGTAATCCACTCTAATAATTGGATATATGAGATACATGCGTGAAGCTTCAGTGAACTCCAAGTGAAGAAAATGAAGAAAGGTTACTGTAGGTCATGGTAGAGAACCTGGCACACAAGCATCCTGGTTTGGGATTTGATAATTTTACAAGGTGGGCCCAGCGATCTTTGTTTTTCTTATCTTTGCCTCTGGGTAGGCCTTAGGATAAAGGTCAGGAGTTGGCCTTGGGGCATTGCCCAGTTGAGGTAAGTGGAGGGAAGTGGTCCCTCAGCCCCAATTATATTATCTGTATTAATAAGGCATCTACCTATGGAGTTTGGTTCCCTTTGGGTGGTTCTACCAGTGGGAAAGTGTTCATGTCCACCTGCCCATGAGGCTTCCTAGGAATTTTTGAGCAAATTTCTTTGATGCTTGGGATTGGATGTTTTCCAAGAGCCAGTCTGATTTCTAAATGTTGAACTTGAAAACAAAATTCTTAGGATTGGCTGGCACTCCTAATTGCTTCTTTCTCTACCAGACTGGTAAGGGGATAGACTGCCTCTTTACCAACTAAGAACTATCAGAGGCCAATAAGTCCTTTGATCTGACTAGAAAGCGGGGCAACAAGGGCTAAAGAAAGCAAGCAATTGGTCCCGGGATTTAGCTCAGTGGTTCCTCTGCCTGCCTCGAAAGCACAAGGTCCTGAGTTTGATCCCCGGTACCCAAGAAAAGAAGAAGGAAAGCAATAGAGACATAATTTGGAAGTACACGGGGTGCTGGGAGGTTAGTGCCAGAATGGACAAAGACAAAGACACTCTGAGCTAGCCACTATTTGTTGGATACACACAATAATTGGGAGGGAGTATTGGGTGACTCAGAGGGCAGCTTATGTTGATGAGGGTCTTATGTTGATGAGGACAATGAGAAGAGCAAAGCATTCTTACAATAGTAGGTGGGATGAGACAGTAGGCTAATAAGGAATTTGTCTTTCCCCAAGGTGAAACCTTTCTCTTTTTTTATTACTACTCAATTCTCAAAGAACCGGGATGTCTTCAGTTGATGTAATCTTGCTGTTGAGCGTCACAGCATCACAGGACCATTGAGGCCTCAGCTTGTGATCCGAGGTACATGGAGTTGTTTCTGTATGCCATAGACAGCTCGCAGGCAGAAGACTAGGCTTCAGACAGCCCTAATTGTAATTTAATTATGAAATGATTTTCCCCAAAATTATATAGAATGCCTCCCAACAAAGCACCACTTAGTTGGCCAGGGTGGTGTCGGTGTTGGGGTGGTAGTCTTTGTGTTGCCTTCGAGAGGATTTCTGGAGAGCACTAAGCAAGAATCTTCTGCAGTTAAAGGATTGAACTTTCAAGTGTTTCTTTGTGTTAATTCCACTTTTCTTCTTGGTTCTTCCTTTCTCTCCTCTTCTCTTTTTCCCCCTCTCTTTCTCCTTCCCTCTTGTTACTAGGTTTTAGAGCCTGGAGTCATCTTCTAAAGGTCGTTTCTAGGTTCTTTCTGTGCTGAATAGAGCATTGGTCAAGACAAGTGCAAAAGTAGAAGTTTTACATTTTTTCAAGGTAAGAAAAGAAACATGCCCTGCAAACCAAGTTCAGGCCAACTAAAGGTAAGAAAATAGATACACCCTGCAAACCACAGGGAGGGCCACTGAAAGAATTGACAGTGGCCCTGGCTTGATAGCAGCCATCATTTGTATCTCCCACTCCTCAGGCTGATGTCAGATCTAAGCCATCCTATCAAAAACGTGTTTGCGTTCTCCCAAGAAGAATTGATCGCATGTGATTGGTTCCACATGCAAGGCTTTGGGACCTGTTCTACGCATGTGTCCTGGAACTTTGTAATTAACAGGTCACAGCCACTTCTCTAGCCAATTTGCCATGCCCTAATCTCCCGCTTCACTTCTACTCCCCATGTGTGGCATTGCATAAGGGAAGAGGTGTCACTGGACCTTAGAGGGTCTGAAGAGACTCCCAAAGTTGAGCTAGAGAACTGAAACTCACCCTCCCTGTGGAATCAATTGCAGGTTCACTGACGCTTGTCTCAGAAAAAGAATTTTCAGGAATAGTAAGAGACACAGGAAGGGTTTTATTAGGCAGGAATTAAAAGTACACACTCAAATAGAATGTGGGCCTTTGAGAGAGAGAAGTATGCCACAGTTTGGAGCTGGGAATATTTTTGAGGTTTTGGTGGTGGAAATCTGGAATTTGTGAATCTTTAGGAAGTTCCTTCTTGGTTCTTGGGAAAAGAGTGGTCCACTCACAGAAAGATAATGGTCTATCCATAGGGAGAAGCCTGTTTTATGGGTAAGAAGAGGTGGTCTATTCACAGGTGAAAAAAGCTCATTTGTAAATGAAAAAGGGAAAGGTTGAATCCATTTGCCAGTGAAAGAGAATTGCCCAAGCTTGTGTTCTGGGGAAAAAAAAAAAAAACCAGCTTGTGTCCTGAAGCTGCAGTTTTCATTTTTAAAATTACAATTTCCCCCTGGGGTGTGGTGTAATCCCAGCACTCAGGAGGCTGAGGCAAGAGGACTACTGTAAATTCCAGGCCATGTAGTGAGACCCTATCTCAAACAAAATATTATGATTTTTCCTCATCTGCTTTCTGTCTGTCTTTGTTTCTTCTCTCCTACCTCAGGGGGAGTGGTCAGCTCGGGAAGTCTGTTCTCATGTGGACAGGGTCTGAGGTGATGTGTGCTGTAGCTGAGACAGGCCCTCCAGAACCAAGGTGCTGCCAGTGTGACAGTGTCAAGCAATGGGGTCTCAGAGGCAGTTAGGGCAGGAGGGCCCCTTCCTTGTTAGTAGGGTTAAAGTTGCACGAAAGAGGCTTCTGGACGTTCTCTTGTCGGTCCACCTGTCACATAACAGGACACAGAGGTCCTCACAGCTCTCAGCAGGTATGAAATGCCAGTACTGGCATCTTGAATGTCCAGTCTCCACAGCTGAGAGAAATAAAGTTCTGTTTTTTGGTTTTTCTCTCCAGTGCTGGGGATTGAACCTAGAGCACCATGCATGCTAGGCAAGTACTCTATCACTGAGCTACACTCCCAGCCCAAAATGCTGTCCTTTATAAATTATCCTGTATCATATTCTGTTACTAATGTACAAAACCGATCATGACATCAAAGAGTTCCTGTTAAATTTATTAGGTGTGTAATGGTATTGGGGTTATGGAGGAGATTTTTTTTTCCTCTTATCCTCTGCAGGGGAGAGAGTAAAAGAAAACATGGCAAAGGTGAATTGTTGAATCCAGGTGTAAGATGTATGGTTTGCATTTTACTTTTTTTTTTTTTTTTGGTATTGGGGATCAAACTCAGGGCCTTGTGCTTGCTAGGCAAGCGTTGGCACCATTGAGCTAAATCCCTGGCCCTTCTTTTCTCTTTTTGAGACAGGATCTCACTATGTAGTTTGAGCTGGTTTTGAACTAAGACCTATGTAAACCCAGGCTGGCCTGGAATTCACAGCAATCCTCCTGCCTCAGCCTCCTGAGTGCTGGGATTATAGGTGTGTGCCATCACACCTGGCTATTTTACTTTCTTTCTTTTTTTTTTTTTAGGGTACCGGGGCTCGAACTCGTATCCTTCCGCTTGCAAGGCAGGCGGTGGAACCAGTGAGCTAAATCCCTGGCCCCTCTATTTTACTTTCTTATAATTTTTTTTTCAGTACTGGAGAGTGAACAGAGAGCCCTAGCACTGAGCTATGTCCCCATCCCTTTTTTAAATTATTTTTTAGAGACAGGGTCTCCCTAAGCTACCCTGATTGGGCTCAAACTTGCCGTTCTCCTGCTTCAGCCTCTCAGAGTACTGGTATTACAGACCATCCACATGTTCCTTCATCCACAGCTGGCATCAAAACATTGAAAAAGGATGTGTGGACCAACCTGGTTCAAGTTGCAGGGTCACTCTGACTGCCATGTAGAGAATATCTGGGTAGATAGAAGCCAGAATGAAGTGGGCAGATCAGCTGAGATAGCTGCAGTGGGGAGGGTAAGAGATGCCTGAGGCCTGGGGAGGTGGCTTGGGTGGAAAAGGAGGGCAGCCCTTGGGGGACTCTCCGTGTGGTGTGTGCGGTGGACAGGACTTGCTGATGGAGGAGGAGTGAGAGATGTGACACCAGTACCCCGGAAGTCCAAGTGGGGCAGGGGAGTGAAAAGGCGTTGGGCTTTCTCATAACTTTTCTCTGTGTTAAAAATTTTCATGGGGTTGGGGGAAAAAAGAAAAAAAGTCCAAGGTAGAGACATGAGAGAAGCCAGGAGAAAAGTCTGAAAAATGAAATAATTTTGAAAAAGGTAGAAAAAGGCTCTGGAAAGGGAGAGGAAATAGGGACATCAGAGTGGGGATCAGGAGATGGTGGGAGGAGGAAATGTACATTCTGTCGACCTGTGTTCTTCATTCGGGTCCTGCGTGGCCAGAGGAAATTTTGATGAAGCAAAACCAAAGAAACAGAGCTGAGCATGGTGGCACATACCTGTAACCCCTGCACTCTGGGAGGCTGAGGCAAGAGGACTGCAAGATCTAGCCTGGACAACTTAGTGACTTAGCAAGATCAATCAGTCAATCAATCAGTCAGTAAGTGGCTGGGGATGTAGCTCAGTACTGGGGGAAAAATAAACAAATGAACAAAATAAAACAAACCCCAATGAAATCATCCAGTTTCTCTTTTTATTGTCACACAGGAACATGAGAGGAGAAACGCAAACTTATTTTACAGGAACAATAATGTAGACTTTGTCCACTGCTGAGGGGCCAGGGTGGTGACTGGGCCTGGAGTGGAGGGAGACCAGCTGGTCCATCAGGCCTGCTATGAACTCTGTGCTCTCCTTTGAGCATTTTAACTCAGAGCTGTGATCACTCTGTAGGTAAGACGACAGAAAGCTGCCACTGAAGAGACAGCAAAGCAGGGCTGAGTAGCTCAGTGGTAGGATGCATCTTTTTTGTTTGTTTGTTTTGGTACCGGGGATTGAACTCGAGACCTTGCGCTTGCGAAGCAGGTGACGGAACCACTGAGCTAAATCCCTGGCCCTAGGATCTTAATATGCAAGAAGCCCTGGGTTCAATCCTTAGCACAGTAAAAATTAAAGAATAAGAGCCGGGAATTTAGCTCAGTGGTCTCGTTGCCTGCTGCGCAAGCGCAAGGACCCGAGTTCTATCCCCAGTACCAAAAAAAAAAAAAAAATTAAAGAATAAGAGAAAACTAAGAAGAAGACTTTGGTTTTCTTGAAATGCTAAAAGCTATTCTTACAAGCACAAAGAGCTCTCAAGGAAGGGCAGTTAATGACTTGCTGTGTTTCAAGTGTATTAGTGTATGTTTCAAGTATAAATAAAGCAACCAATTTTATATTTAAAAAAGAAAACTAAACAAAAGGTGTTGGTCAAGAGAGTGGTGAGTGGAGAGAGAGGAAGCTGAAGCACCCCAACGCGCAGAAAGCAGAGAGGAGCCTCCCTTCCTGTCCCTCCCTGTCCCCTGGGGCTCCCTGTGTTGAGTCCCGCTTCCTGCTCTTTGAACCTCAGCCGGAGAAAGCCTGTGAGACCCAGGACTCTGCCTGGGCTGGCCGAAGGGCACGCTGTTCCTTGTAACCCAGGTCACTTGCCTGCTGCTGTATCTTGACTTTACCTATGGAGCAGCCTGGCCAGCCTGGCCCTGGGATGCACAGGGCCTGGGGAAAGGCCAGCTCACTCTTGCAGTTGTTCACATCCCCATCTGTGTGCTTGGAAACTTCTACTCTCAGCTTTGGTTCTACTCCTCAGGAAAGCCCTGGCTACAGTAAACACTCAGTGCCCGAATGAACAGAACCACTTGCCTCCAACTCCTCTGGGTTCTTGGCGCTCTCCTTTCTCTCTGCAGCGTGTCACCTACCCTTGCTGAGACCCTGCTTGTTTCCTACCCAGCTTCCACTTGCTCATTACCCAGCCCCTGCCTCTCTTTTCAGCGACAGTAAGAGCTGACATCTGCCAAGTGCGTATGTGGGCCAGGCACCGATTTGGGCATTTTACAGCATGCTTGTTCCTTTAATCCTCCAGACACCTAGGAAGCAGATCCTATCATTATCTCTCCCACTTTACAGATGACAAAGCTGAGGTGTGGAGACTAAGGTACTTGTCCCAGGTCACAAAATGATGACAAGTCAAACCAGGCGGGCTGGCACCAGAGTCAATATTTTTAACGTCTGATTAGTTTTAGGGTAATAAAATCCAGCGGTGCACTTCGGCCTAAATAAGAGAACAGAGAAAAGTCTTTATTCTTCAGAAAAAAGCATGACTCTTCTTTCTGGAAGCCTGGTTGGGAAGGGAGTGATTGGTCTCTAGTTCTAGGGCCTTCGACAAACACCTACCTCCTAGTTTGCTAAGCAAATGGAAAGAATCAAGTGTGACTTCTTCCACCTCCTCTACCTGCCAATCCCTGCCTTCCTCCAGTCGGAGAGCTGGGCACCTCTCACCTTTACTCTCATTCTGGGTCCTTTTGAATGGCTTTTAGGATTGCCTCATGTCTTAATTAATTTTCTGTTACTATAACAAAACACTTGAGGCCCAATACTTCTAACAAAAGTGCTGTAAAAAGGCTTC